TCGAGGTGTTGCAACTATTTGACTCCGACCACAGGCATGGATGGTGGCCTGCTCCAAATCCAAGTGTGACCTATAAATGGATAGGAAAAATAGCCTGTGACATCTACAGCTCACGGACTAGCAGAGCAGCCTTTTATTTAAGTTCCTGTCAGACGCACTTCTCAAGTAACGGCTGTTACTTATTCAGTATTCAGAATTGTCATAAGGAATTACTAAACTTAATAGTGGGCTTTATTTTCATTTCAGCACTTAATAAGATCCCATTGCCATGCAGCGTTAGGGTTGCCCAGTCCATTTTTTTCTTCCTCAGTGCAAACTTGCCTAGAGAAGCAATCTGGCATCTGTCTTCAAAGTGAGAGGTTAAATTAGTTCATCAGGGCCGTGCAATAACCTTGCGAGTTGCAGGCTTAACTCACCATTTCTTTAAGCTGACTTTGTTAATGTCTGGCTTGAATTTTATGTTAAAAAAGTTCCCATGTTGCTGATGTTGTTTACTTCTCCTTTAAGTTTAGAACTTTGTACAGATACCCATCAAAAATAAAGGGGAAGGTGGTAGAATGTGCATATTGGTAGATAATATATAGTTTTTCCCACTAAACTAGCATGGATCGGTAGAAAGTGCTACAGAGTCACTCTCTTTCTGATTTGTGTCCACAGAGCTATCCAAGAATTTTCTAGTTGAAGTCATGATGTCTTTTTGACCTGTCTTCCGGCCCCTCAGCAGGGATCCAAGTTCTTGAGTTTTGGCTGATGTTCAGCATTCTTGGATCAGCTTGGCTGTGGAATGTATTGAGGGGACCCAAACGGAGTATGGGGCTTGGCTTTTCACTTCTGCAGGTTTACTTTAAGACTCAAACCACTTACTTTCAGAATTGGGGTATTGTTACCTGATGGTTAGAATACTTAATTTTGTATCTTTTCTAGTGAGGACAGAAGCTGGAGACGGGAGCATCACTAACTCTGTAGCAGGTTTTCAGGTTACAGATGTGGAAATTCAGCCAGCTGAATACTGAGTAGCTTTGGTGACAGTCACATGCCCCATGTTCAAGAGTTCTCAAAACATGCTTCTTGGGAAATAAAAACTACTCACCAGTAGCACTTCTCTTCAAATGAGTAATACTTTGACTTCTCGCTTGAAACTAAATGCTGGTACTTCTGTTGCTAGTACTTTCTGCCTCTCCATTTCTTTATCTTCTAGGAAAGCAAAGCTTAGGGGTTTCACTATGTCCAGGCTGGCTCTAGGCTGGCTTGTCAAATTCAGGTGTGGTATTGTAGGTTGGTTGCCAACAGCCTGGATTGCTCAACGTTTGCCTCTTTGATACAGCTGACTGGCCAAAGAGCTCTTAAGTATGCTGGCTTTAGCAGTGGTTTTTATCTAGTCTGTGCTTTGATTGAAGGAGTGAAGTCCTGTTAATATCAAGTGGTAGACCAAAAGAAGCACCTGGTAAGTATAATGAAGATAATTGCCCCTGTTCTACTGAGCTGTTGGATTCTAAGGAACTGCTAGTATCCAGAATTACTGTGAGTAATCTTAGAGGTGAAGTTCAGCTTACTTTCTACTGTGAGGAGCCCAAGTTAGTTTTACTTTGTTTGGTAAAACAAACTTCTTCCTTGGAGGGCATCTAGGCTAAAAGCTATAAAATAAGGAGCTTTACAATGGAACTTGGTGGTAGTTCTTTCCATCATCAGATCTAGATGGGCTACCAAACCAGACTTGGATATTGTTGAATCTTGTGTGTGAAGACTGGAGACTAGTAGCACTTCTCCCGTTTCAAAAGTTTTGAGTGTGTTTTAACTGTAAAGCCACAGAAAGACATGGTGTTCCACTTTGAAGTTTGAGCCAAGAAACTTCAGAGATTATCATATCAATAGAAGAATTGCAAAGAAACAGAAGTTTGGTGCTGAAGTTGCACTTAAAAGCTTCAAACCTCACGTGGGAAACCACTGTGGTGGCACCTCTCCCTTGGATCTTTGAGTTGTTCTCAGCCCATGATCTCTAGCAGTAGAGCGATCATCCAGAACAGAGTCTAAAATTCATTCATAATAATGCTTTGCTGAGTAGCTGCAAGGTGATTTATTTCAGCTTCAAGACACAGTTAGGGAGCTCTCTAGAAGGAGTTCAGGTGAATTATTACCATCTCTGTAGTAGAAAGGCAAAGTTTGAGGCAGCTAGACTTGTGTTTCTTCACAAGTTTGGGAATCTAGTCTATGAGGCAGTGGCTTAGTAGATCTTGCAGAACTTGAGCTGGCTCAGAAATGCTAGATGAGGCCATAGTTCTAATTTGCTTTCCACTATGACTTTTACTGTCCATGTGAGGCAAAAACCTAGTTTGGGGATGTAAGGGCGGGGGGGGGGAGAGCAAGCTGCTTTGTATAACACATTTGAGCTGCGGAAAACACTGGTAGATGTGACTGAATGAAAACATTCCAACAAGTAGCTTCCTTGCAGAAGGCTTACTTAAAGTGGCCTTGGTAGATAAAAGGAACTGCTGGAAACTTGCCTGTGATGACAAAATGGAGGAGTATTGACTAACAGAAGAATTTGAACTGGGGTGGTTTTTACTTTTTTTTTTTTTTCTTTTCCTCTCTTGGAAGTAACTGAAAAATGTAATGGTGTTCAAACTGCTGGGAGGCTGTCCATTTAAGGACTTGTCTTCTGAACCAGCCTTTTCTGGTTATTGCTTTGTAAAGGTGGCTGTTGGCTTTATCTGAAAACTAAATTCTTACACTGTTTTTTAAAACAGTTTACGCCAGTGGGGAATTTTGTCCTGTGAAATGCTTCTTAGAATGTGGGGCAAGTAAAACTAGTGTCAGCTGCATCTACCTCTAGCTGGTGAAATCGTATTCCATTTCAGATCCTTTACAGGAAGAATGCAGAAGTTAAACATTAAAATACTGGTGAAGAGAAATTCCAGCAAACTGTTTGGTACTTTTGTATACTTAAGGTATCTGAAGATGGAGCAGCGTGCTTTGTAATCATACTTCTATGGCAGCTGTAACCTTCCAATATTTCTTGAGTTCAGGGGGAAAAGGGGTCTCTGAAGATAAAGGTTTTTAATTTCTCAAATAGTCTTGAAGGATAGTTGTGCGGAGACTGTTGTTTCACTTTAGATTTCTTACCCAGTTTGCATAATCTTTCTTTGCCAATTTGCTATATACTAGAGGAAAAGAAACTTCAGGTTTTACTCTTTGAAGGAGCAGTTAAAAAGGAAGCAACTTTGACTTAGCTGTAAAACTTCTCTTTCCAGATTGCTTTGGGGCAGTGAGTAGCCAGCTTTTGTCCATCATGCAGGCCCTGAGTGGCAGGTTGGCAAAGTAAGATACATGCTGACGGGTTAATCTTAGTAGAAAAGCTTTTCCACTGTGTTATCTAAAGCAGGTCTAGCTAACCTACTAAACAATTGTCTTTTACCATATGTTAACCTAACTGGTTATGTTAGGTTCTTCGTGTGGGTAACTGCCGGCAGTATTCAATCCTGTCACTGCATGTGGTAGTCTCGAGTTCATGGTTTGGAATGAAAGTCTGGTAGTTGTTAGTATCTGTAAAGACGTACTGCAATTCTGTTACAGCTGTTGGCCTGCTATCCTGCTCTTTTTAACAGCTCTTATGTTCTATAATGTTGTAATGTGAAGACTTTTTTTAAGAGTAGCACGTTGAGTGAAGAATATATCTTGGTGTATAACTGGGAGACCCCATCTTGTCCCTCTTGAAATTAAAAGCAGTGTCAACTATTGTGCCTGAGCCCAAGCTCCCGCAGTTGGCTTTGCTTGTGTTTTTCCTGTTCTGCAATGTCAACATGGTTGCTATGAAAACAGGCATAAACAATAGCACACTGAGTGCCAGCTGCTGCCACTATAGTAGATGGGACTTCATCCTCAGGTGTGCTAATAAGATAGTTAAAGATCTTCAGTGCTGCGATGAATCGGAGAAGGCTGGGTTACACGTAAAATCCAAGTATCTCAAGTGCACAGACAACCAGTTGTTTTATTTTTGTTAACATCTGTTTAAGATATTCTTGCATCCTTTCATTGCAGAACTTCATTTTAAGAGCAAATACCATCATCTGGGCCAGCTGGAAGGTAGATGTGGGATTACAGAAGTGGCATACTAAAGCTTGTGTCTCTTGTACTTTGAATCCTCAGGCTTCTGCTGTGGTTGGGAAGATGGGTGGTCACTTAAATGCTGAAAATTATTGGAGAGAGGAACTGTTTTGAGAGAGGAGTGGCTGAAAAGACAGTAAATTTGTTCAACATTGGAGTACTTTAAAAACAACTCCAAACAAAAATTCGTGTTTAGATATATGCTCTCTGCTTAAGAGCTAAATGTCAGGGTGCTAATTCTGGTTCCTTCTTGAGGTCATGTGTTGTTCTTACTGCTTCTGTAGTGGCTTTCTCCAAGATACAACTCGTGAACCTTCCTGGTAATCTGGAATGCTGGATGGTTTGGTGGGGAGGGAAGCAGTTTGTAACATGAAGAAATTGTAGGGTTACAGGAGGGTTATCTTGAAGGGGGGGGGTCAGGTAAAATGACGAAACATACCAGATAATGGTACTTCTGTTGGATTAAGAATAATGAATTGAGAGAGAGCATGTGAATTATTTGAGCTTAAGGAGACTTCATCAAAACAAAGCTTGTTGTGTATTTTTAAATACTGTACTTAAAACTTTTCTTCAAGCACACTTTAAAAAAAGACTCCCAATTTAAATGTTGAACTTCCTTGTTCTCTTATACCTAGTTCTGGAAGTCCTCCATAACTATTCTACAGCTTAGGGGAGTTATGGTACTGTGACCGCAGTCTATAACCTACCCCAGCTGAACCACTGAGTCAGTGCCTGTGGCAGACTGACTTTCCTGCTCGATGCAATGTTCCCCAATACGGGCAAAAGAAGTGGTTTATAGTGTCTCTGACAGGCGTGCCTCTCTGTTTCCCTAGCATTCTAAAGATGTTTTCCAAGTTACTCTTCTAGATATCTGGCAAGTGTCTGCTGTCTTTTAGGGAAGCCAAATGTCTTAAACATTTCCCTTCACGTAAGCCTGGGCGTGAATGAGCTATAGGGTAATATATTGAAGTTGTAATTCTTGTTTCTCAGAGTTTAACTGCTGCTTAGGTCATAAAAGAACTTAAGTCTTCAAATGTTAAGCTAATATGCTCTTTGAGGCTTTAGGTTTAATACAGCCTATTTGTACAATCAGCTTCCAGAATGAAGCTTGATTAGTCAATGAATGTAGTAGCTGCCAGCCAGACTTCTCAAGAGAAAGTAAAACAACTACCAGGAAGAAATAATTTGTAGAGACAGGTAGCTGGCTTTTGAGTTTAACTCTGAGGAATAAGAAAGAAGGTGCTTTATTGAAAGGGAGAACAACAGTAGGGCTGGTAAGATAATAGTTAAAGGGGTGTACTACTTTTTTCCCCACTCCAAAGCATTTTGTAAATTTTTGAAGCAAAGACTGGCTTCAAAAACTAATTAGAGGAAAAGATACATAGTACGCTATTTCTTTGGCTGTTCAAAGCTGCCTTACTCCAAGCAAAGCAGAGCCAAACTTTTAATTCGTACAGTCATTGTAACAGTCACAATCAGATGTTGTACAAAAAAGTACTGAGTTAGCCAGGAGTCCTGCTTGGTTTTCATTGCCTTTTCCAGGAGGGTGGGAAATCGCTAAATCTCTTATTTTAAGGTAGCCTTTGCTTTGTCTTCTAACAATGTCTTTCTTCCTCAGGCGGGTAATCTGCAGCCATGAGCAGCAACGAATGCTTCAAGTGTGGACGTACTGGCCACTGGGCTCGGGAGTGCCCTACTGGCATTGGCCGTGGTCGTGGGATGAGAAGCCGTGGCAGAGGTGATTGATCACTGGGGTTTTCAGTACTTGTACAGTACGATCTTTAGCTGACTGTTCCGAATAGTGTGTGAAGCTGTCTTTGTTAATCTGAAGAAGTTAGGACACAAATTGGTAATAAACTTCGCTGGTTCTTAACTCTGCCTAAGAATTTTGCCAGGGGCCTCTGAGAGTGAAGTTAACTTGTCAATTCAGCTGGCAGTGTCTTTGATTAAATCTTAAAAAATATTCTTAACTTAATACTTAAGCCTTTTTTCTCCTGTTACCCATTTCAAGCAGGCTTCCAGTTCATGTCTTCATCTCTCCCGGACATCTGTTACCGCTGTGGTGAGTCTGGCCATCTTGCCAAGGACTGTGATCTTCAGGAGGATGGTAAGTATCACTAAATATTCTATCTCTTCAATCACATGGACAGAGGTCTGTGGTTGAAGAGAAGGATATGGTACACTGGTCATAATTCACTGGAAATGAGCTGTACATGTCCTTCATTAGAAGCATGTTACATCTCACTTTACCAAGGTTTTATAGTCTTGTTTGGTATGTTTTTCTTATTGTGGAAGCCTGCTATAACTGCGGTAGAGGTGGCCATATTGCGAAGGACTGCAAGGAGCCGAAGAGGGAGAGAGAGCAGTGCTGCTACAACTGCGGCAAACCCGGCCATCTGGCTCGTGACTGTGACCATGCAGATGAGCAGAAGTGCTATTCTTGTGGAGAGTTTGGACACATTCAAAAAGACTGCACCAAAGTGAAATGCTATAGGTAAGAACCAACAAGAGACAACTGTAGAATGTACCTGAAGTGATAGATGTGTTCTGTATCTAATTTTGGTTAGGAAATGAAGCTTGAGCTTTGACTGGGTAGCTTGTTTCTGTAAAGTTACCTACTATTGTTCAAAACTAAGACTCAAACACCTGTTAGCAAAGTCAAGTAATAAATTCAGCGATGAGCATCTCAAGATGGCCACAACAATGCAGATGTTAAATCACTTAAGCTGTACAGAGAAAGGGTGGTATGTTTTTGCAGAAGGTAACAGGAAGCACTTACCTATAGCACAAACTTAAACTAGAGTTGGGTACCCTGTTACCTTATGCTGGAAATAACAAACTCCAGCTATACAAATCAGCTGACT